CAAACCCTCATGAATGTTGTGACGTTCTCTGAGGAAGTCCTTTGCAAATCGTTCCCGTCAACTCTCAACGAGCTGGCTGCAGAATGGTTCAATGAGCTACCCGAGGGGAAGATCAATTCTTAGGAAGATCTCGCACGGAGATTTTTGGTACACTTCGCCAGCAACAGAAAGAAGAAGCTGCACTTCTCGCACCTATTGTTGCTCAGGAAAAGGTCAGACGAGCCGTTGAGGGAGTTTCTGGCGAGATGGAAGCTGGAGACCACTAAGGTCTATGGTGCAGACAAGAAAACGAGATTGTCTACTTTCTACCTGGTCTTGCGGTCGGGTGATTTCTCCTAGCGCCTAGCCTTGGAGAAACCTAAGGAATGCTCTGTCGCGCTGTCCATGGCGGAGGACGAAGGGGAAGCAGAAGAATTAGAATAAGAAGAAGGAAGAAGTCGGAAGATTGGGAGGAACCCTGGTGGCAACCATGAGGACCCCAACAAGGAAAGCCGTCGTGCAAGAACGACCGCCCTTACCATCCGGCCACCGTTTCAAGAAGGGTAAGGACCTTTGACCTTGAGCTTGTTCATGAGTCCCTTCATGAATTTGAAAAGTGTCTTGGAGTTGGTTTTGCTGTGAGTTCTCTGGATTGGCATTTTCAGATTCAAAGGGAGTGGAGATTTTCTTCTTCTTCTTCTTCTTCTGAAGTTGTCCTTGAGCAGAGACTTCCTCCGGATCAAGAATCACCAGCTCAAGATTCTGTGGTTCACTTGTGGATGCCACTTGTTTCTTCTTTGAAACCTTCTTTAAAGTAGTGGCAAGAACTTCATTTGAAGATCCTTCTTCTTCAGCAACAGAGCTGGCTTTGCTCTCTCCTTTGCTTGCCAAGTAGTATAACCAGTATCTTTCCTCACACTTCTTGCCATCTGTGGCAACCTCTAGGCACTCTAATACATAACCAATGTAGAGTCCTTGGCAGGGGAATTTCTTCCTAGATTGACCAATGTGTTTGGAGATGGAATTGAAGAAGTGTTTAGCCTAGTTCACCCGGGTTTTTGAGATGAAGGCATTAATGATGAATGCTCTTTCTTAGGTGATGTCATCAGCATTTCCTCCACTGCCGCATTTCAGACATCCAATGATCAATTCCAGTTAGAGCTTGTAATCATTCTCCAGATCTCCTTTCTTCGCTTGACCAGTGTGAGCTTTTTTGGAAATCCCAATCTCGTTCCAGTTGAGAGTCTTGGGAGAGAGCTTCCCAATGTCAATCCCAAATTTGGGCAGATGAAGCTTGGTTCTCAACTGTTTCTGTGAAATTTTCACTTCTTTGTCTCCTACAGTGGAGTGAATGATTTGCGTAGACTTTGTGGGGTCTCTTTTGGATTGGGAGGTTTGGATTTTTCCATTGGTGTAGAACTCCATAACATCCTCTTCATATTTGGTATGAATTACTAACGTTATTTGCAGGAAGAAATCAAACGCCAAATCCCTCCTCACTTAATTAGCATCACCAAGATGTGCTCCTACGGGTTTAGAAATAATTGTGTAAAGGTAATGATATATTTAATAATTTACTTATTCCCTTTCACTCAAAATATTATTTCTAAAATGTCAAATATATTCTTAGTTGGGGTTATTTTGAAAAAGGAACACAAAAATCACATTTTGGAAACTGTCACAGGTCAGACGGTACTTGACTACTGTGTTAACAGTACCTAGGTACTGGTGGCATCCAAGTGATTGTACTGGGGTACGTTTCACTTGGAGTGACACAGTACCCCCTACCGTGCTAACAGGACCCAGGTACCGTCGGTAAGCTACGGAACGTAAGACGTGACCGTTTGAACCTAGGTTCCGCTAGAGATGCTGAGAAATTTTGAACTACACGGTACCTATTAACGGTTTGTTGTACCGTGGTCACGGTACCTTGGTACCGGACGGTACCCCTCTATCGTGAAGCGTACCGTGACCGTTGGCGGTTCTTGTAGCTGATTTTCAATTTAAATTTGAATTGCCCCCAATTATTCCCCAACGGTCTTCAACATTAAAAACCAAATTTTTACCCTTTGAAACTCTTATATAAACCCCCTCTAAGTCTCATTTATGATACAACAACTTCCCAACTATATCTAAAGCCTATTTCTCTATTCTTAAGTGTTTCTTAAAGCTTTGTGCATATTTTACTTACTCTTTTGAGTATAAAGATTTCATTATTTTTATACACTCACACACAAGGGCATTTGTTATTCATTATTTTATATCTTGCTTATAGGCTTTTGTTGTTGTTGATTATTACTTCGTTCTTCTCCTACCCAACTCATTTTGATTATTATTTGGGAGAGAAGTAACAACAATTTCTATTGCTTTTGTGAAAGGTGTGAACATCCTTTAAATTCTCAATGTAAAAGGTTGAAGATAGCCTATAAATCTTCCGTTTGTAAGCGGTCGAGATAGCCGTTTTAAAACTCATTTGCTTATTGGAAAGAATTGTTTGCCAAACCTTGTTTGAGTCTTCTATCTTAGTGAAGCCAAACAAGTTAGTGGAGGTTTAAATCCTTGAGGAGGAGCCTCGAGGTACTAGAGTAGGGAATTCCCGAACCAGTATAAAATAGATTATGTTGTACTTTTCTCTTTTATACTTTTCTTTCTATTTTTCCGCAACTACTTTGCGATTAAGTTTTTATTTTATGAAAAACTTTCATACACCCTAATTCACCCCCCTGTTAGGGTGTAACCGACTTTCACTCTCATCTTGTTGTTATATGTTGATGATATTGTTATTACTAGCTCCTCTTCCTCTCTTATTCATGGTTTTATGTGAAGTATGCAGCATGAATTTCAAATGAAGGATCTTGGACCTCTTCAGTACTTTCTTAGCCTTGAAGTGCAACGCACCGATGATCGTCTCCTACTCCATCAGACTAGCTAAATATGCTGGTAAGCTTCTTCATCGTGTTGCTGTTGACACTGCCAAACCCATGCCTACGCCGATCAGTCCCAGCTTGTCCAGAGATGGCTTGGATGTTCCTTTCCACAATCCCCGTCTCTTTCGTAGCTTGGTTGGGGGCCTTTAGTATCTCACTATTACCATACCGGGCATTCAATTTGCTGTCAACATTGTTGCATAAAAGATGCATAGTGTCACAAAAAAGGATTTTTATACGTTAAAACAAATTCTGCGCTATATCAAGGGTACAATATCACAGGGTCTTGTGTTCGGAAGGGGGGGGGGATATGCGTCTACATGGCTACTCTGACTCTAACAGGACAGTCGCGCGACCACAGGGTATCTAACTATCTTGGCGATAATCTTGTATCCTGGAGTATGGAGAAGCAAGAAAGGGTATCAAAGTCCTCCACTGAAGCCAAATATAGAGCACTCTCTGCCGCAACATTGGAGGTAATGTGGCTCACTTACAGTCTGACCGATTTGCATATAGCCACTCCACCATCGATCCTTTATTGTGACAATGAGTCTGCCATTTGCCTCGCAAAGAACCCTATTTTTCATAAAAAAGATGAAGCACGTTGGAACACACTGTCACTTTGTTCGTGAACAGGTCATCGATGGGTCCATAATATCTGAACATATATCCTTTGAGTATCAATTGGCTGATTTTCTCACCAAGCCATTAACGTCACAACAGTTCCACTTCCTTATATCCAAGCTTCCTCTTGCTACCGCAAAACTCAATTTGAGAGGGGATGTTAGTTAGATTATATAATTATGTTATATTATTAGGCTCTTATGTAATTATCTAGCTCACTCTCTCTATATATATTGTATCACACCATACGTATTATCTTGAGTAATTCTGTTGTTCCATTATTCTATCAAGTAGTACAATAAATATGAGGCCAAATAGCTTCACTATCACCTGTGGTTTGAAAAATTGGCACAAATACTCCTGCTTTCATAATTTATTTTTAAAGTTCCGCGATTTAAAAACGTTGAACTCACACCTCCTCTGATCATGTTCTGGTCATTTTCCGAGTAAGAGGGGGCATTGGTGTCTCTTTTATAAACCATAGGGGGCACTTATGCTCATTTCTTATATTTTTTGTTTATTATTTGGTTTTTTCTTTTTTTTTAACTCTTTTTTTATCTATTTTATTCCTTTTCCTAGAAAAGTTTTTTAAATTTCTTTTCAATTTTATAATTTTATAAAAATTCAAATTTTTGTGTTTGAGATAAAAATAAAAATAAGTAGGCAAATTATTACATAAATCTAAGGTTAATGGTGAACCCTCATATATGTCAAATAAACATTTTCAACTGTTGAAATAACCATTTTAAAATAAAAAAGACGTGAGAAGGTCCATGTGGACCTTAGTTCCACCATACAACTTCTCAAATAACATATATATTTATCTATTTTGACAATTTTAAGTCAAATCGGGTCATACCTCTGGTTTGATTCCGAGGAGGAGCGCACCCGTTTCCTCACTTTTTTCTCTAAATGGGTTGTGGCTCCCCCACGAATCATCCCAGAGCGCTTCCCGGAGTTGCAAGGCTACGACGACCTAGACGCGCAGCTTCATCAAGCCGTCTTGTCCTCTACATCGTGTCCCGGATCATCAAACCCCGGAAGCATGGCCACACAATCATGTCCGGTGAGGACCTCAAGCTCATCCACGCGATCATGCACTCGGCCCCAATCAATTGGGCGAAGTTTGTCATGATCAACATGACGATCGCCGCGTCCACCGACCACGACCACCTCCTCCCATACCTGTTCGTGGTTATGGACATCCTTGAAAGGTTCAAGGTAACCACCACCGTTGGCCCGCTCATGAAGGCCATGAAGCTTTGGACAATCAGCAACCAAACCTTCACCAAGCGGTCGGACAACGCCGTGACTGCCACTGCCGCACCACGCCGTGCTGCCCCTGCCGCTGGCCCAGCCGAACCCCGGACCCGAGCCAACCTCGCCTCCATTGCCGACTCCCTCAACAGGCTCCATTTCAAAGTTGACGAGATGGAGGGCTACCTTGAACGGCTCGACGTGGTCGTTCAACGCCAAGGGTACGCCATGAACGCGTACTTCCAAGGCATCAACTACGTCCCTCCACCACTCCACGGCACATTCCTCGGGGAAGTGTACGGTGATGAGAACGAAGAGGATGGCTCCTACTCCCAGTCAAGCTCCCCGGACGAGGATAAGTTCGACGATGCCATTGATGGTGATGAGATGGACGTTGACGACGACGAGGAGGAAACCGAAGACGAAGCCTAGGACTCCCCTAGAATTTCTATCTCTTTTCTTTCAATTATCATGTTTTTTTCCTGCTTCCATTGTACTCTGCCCTTTCCCTTTAATAAATAAAACTATCTTTTATCTTTTTGTTAATGTCAAAAGGGGGAAGAAAGTGCTATGCATATACTAAGGGGGAACGCCTCTCTAAACGAGACCGTTTGATTTTTAATCCGACTATTTTTAAGCACAAATTAAGGGGGAACTTCTTTTTACAACTTTTTGAAAATCAACTATCCCTTAGTATGCATATCCCCGTCATGTTTGCCATTATCAAAAAGGGGGAAATTGTTGGAACACAGGTTTACGCCTACGTCGTACTAAACTGTGTTCGTCTTATGACAGGTTTTTATAATGCCAAACCACCGTGACAATAACAAGAGTAAAGTGAGCAAAACCAAGGCGAAGGAACATGGCATGATGATTTGAGAACCGAGAACCAAGAATCAAGAACGAAGAATTAGAATTGTATTGAGTCGGTCATAATGTGAACAAGACCGGCACAAACTTTCAAAACTTGGCTCTCTAGGCTCATTTCTTCAAAATACTTTTTGCAAATTCAAAAATGTTTTTCATAAGTTTTAAACATGCCTAAAAACACTTGGAGTTCGCCCAAATCAAAAACCAAGCCATCCGGCGTTCGGCTTTCAGAAACCGGCATTCGGCTTTCGGTTTTCGGCGTTGGTTTTTGGCGTCCGAACCAACCAAGTGGTTTTCAACTTTTTATGATTGGTTTTTACTTCTGGGCATATTTAAATAGTTCTCCAACAAAAACGCTTCAAAAACCACCTTTCGTTTTTGGTCGTTTAGTGAAAACCATGCGAAACAGTGTAAACTTGGTTAGCCGTGGTTTTCAAGTAAATAACGTGGTTTTTAAGATGTTTTACTTGATTTCTTAGGAAAATGCAATAAAAAAATGTTTTCAATACTTGGTTTTTATTCTGGAGAACTTACGTTTTTGACATCGGCTAACGGCGTGACTAAACCAACCATGGGTCTGGCTAAAACAGCCCAACAGCGATGTTGGTGCAACCAACAGCGCTGTCTGGCTTGGGTAGCTGAAAACCATGGTTTGGCGTTAAGTCTTCCAACAGCGATGTTGCATATTAGACATCGCTGTTGAGCCAAGGTTGGGTTTCCAAAAACATCTGGAACAGCCATGTAGCCTTCCCTACAGCGCTGTCCAACCTAAGCCAAAAATATAGTGCATTGGCAGAAAGTTTTTGGACAGTTATGTTGACCCAGCAACAGCGTTGTTAGGCCAAAACTCCACCTTCAAAGTCAGACCTAAACAGCGATGTTGAAGTATTGAACATCGATGTAGGGACCTGACCGTTGGAAGGAATTTAAGGCTAAAACTTTCCTTGTTTGGAAGTCAACAGCCAAAACAGCGATGTAGGAGTATTCGACATCGCTGTTGGCATGACCGTTGCTTCCCAATTTTCAAAACCCAAGCCTAGAACAGCGATGTCCAAGCCTAGGACAGCGCTGTCTGGGTGAATTTCAGCAGATCCAAATTTAATCAAATCCCACAAATTGTGCCAATCACCCCTTAAATGTTTTGGTCCGTTGGAGCCTATTTTTCCAGTATAAAATGGGGTGTTTGGGTCTATTTTACACATCACATTACTTCACAACTCCTACTCTTTCATTGCAAATCATTCATCACCTTTTCATAGCTTTTTGAGAGCCATTTTTGTGAAGCTTGTGTTGCGTTCTTGAGCGTTCTTAGTTACTCATTATCCACTCTAAAGGAGAGTATTGTTCTTGAGTGTTTGTAGTGTTCTTAGACACTTGACAAGAGAAAGTACTTCTCTTGTTGTTCGAAGGAAGGGTTGTTTCCTTCGAAGGTTCGTTGAGGTTTGTGTGACTCGAACTCTCAAGTTGTACGGGTTTGTTAAGCACCGTTAAGCTTAACGAGTTAGTAGTGTATCTCGAGAGAGTCTCTCGGGAGGCTGGATTAGCCACAACTTGTGGTGAACCAGGGTAAAATCGGTGTGCCTCTTACTCTTCTTTTTACTTGTCGTTTACTCATTTTTTTATTCCTGCGATTTCTTGATCAAACGCTATTCACCCCCCCCTCTAGCGTTGGTCTGTTATTCTAACAATTGGTATCAAAGCCTAACTCGCGTCCAAACTTAACCGTTTGAGAGTAAAGCGATCATGGGTTCTTCTTCTAGAAATCTTTATGCAGGAATTGGAGAAGGTCAATCAACTTCTAGGCCACCACTCTTTGTTGGCACCAACTATTCCTATTGGAAGGAATGGATGAGATTCTATATCCGTTCCACCAACTTCCAATTATGCTTGGTCATCAAACACGGAGAGCAAATCCCAATGAAGAAAGTAGGAGAAACCACAGTTCCAAAAACCGAGGATGAGTTTGATGCGGAGGACATCAAGAAGGTTGAAAACTACGCAAAAGCTATCAACATGCTTTATTGTGCAGTCAACCCCGATGACTACCGGAAGATCTCCTGCTGCACAACCGCCAAGGAGATGTGGGACAAGCTTGAAGTGACGTACGAAGGTACCGATCAAGTTCGTGAAGCCAAGATCAACTTTCTCACCCAAGAGTATGAAATGTTTCGAATAAAAGAAGGTGAGAAATCGATGACATGTTCGACCGGTTCTCAAAGATCATCAACGACCTTCATGCTCTCAAAAAGACTTACACCAACAAGGATCTCGTGAGGAAAATCCTGCGGAGTCTCACACCCGAATGGAGATCAAAGGCTGACGCAATCTACGAGTCCATCGGAGTCTCCAACGTCACCATCGACGGGCTAAGAGGTAACCTCAAAACCTATGAATCTACTATTCTAACCCCGTCCTTGGATGAACAAAAGAAGAAAGGAATAGCGCTCAAAGCAACCAAGGAGATCGTAGAAGAAGTCTCAAGCGATGATGACAACGAGTTCGGACTCGTCATCAAGAAATTCCACAAATTCATGAAGAAGGAATTTGAACGGAAAGGAAGAAAGCACGACGGTCCCCCGAAGTGCTATGGCTGTGGCGAGATAGGCCACATCAAGCTAAGGTGTCCAAAATGCAAAATCGGCAAGGACAAACCTGGCTTCAAAAAGCAAGGTGCCTATATCTCATGGGGTGGTGACTCCGGCGACGAGTCAACTGACCAAGAAGAGGAGGAAGCCTCCAACCTCTGCCTCATGGCGCACGAAGATCAAACCGATGACATTCAAGAGGTATGTACCATTTCTTCCGACTCTTATACTTTTGAAGAAATGCAAGAAGCACTTCATGAACTTTATGAAGAATTTGTTAGCGCCTCTCAAACAAATAAATCTTTGAAGAAACGTCTTTCTTCACTGGAAAACGATTTTGAAAAACTGGAAAAAGAAAATGAAAAACTTAAACAAGAAAACAATTTTTTTGGAAAAAGAAGCGCTGACGAACCAGAAAGTTCCTCAAGTGAATGTGAGTCTAGTAAAGCTTTAAAAGATCAAGTCGCTAAACTTGAGAGCACGGTCAAGAAATTTAATACTCCTCACAAAGACTTAAATTTACTTCTTGACACTATGCATTTTTCTAAGGAAGGAATAGGTTTCAATAAAAATGAAGCTAAAGATAATGTTGAGCCACCACCTAGACAATCATCTAAGGTTTAACATAAGAAACCTAAAAATCAAGATAATAGAAAACCTAGTCAGCCTAAGAACACTAGACAACCTAGACTAAAACATAGGAATGAAAATGGTCATGGTAGACAACCTAAGAAAGATGATTTTGTGTATAAAAATGAATTTTCTCAAATAAGGAGAAATAATGCTAGAGCACCTAGTAAAGGCCAGTTTCAAAATTTTCAAAAACCATCATTTTCACAAACTATGAACAAAATGGTTAAACCCTCTAACTATTATGAACCTAGGCACATGTACAACCCCAACGTAGTTTGCCATTACTGTAATAGGATAGTCCATATTGCTCCCGTTTGTTACACTAGGCATAGGCACCTATCACAAAATCAAGCACACTACAATCACACACCTAACACCCGAGGACCCAACGTAAATTGGGTACCTAAAACTCATTGATGTGTTTCATAGGTGTGCTTGAAGGCATCAAGTGTACTTTGGTACCTTGATAGCGGATGCTCCAAGCACATGACCGGGGATGCATCTAAGTTTCTCCAAATCAAACCAGCTAAAGGAGGAAATGTAATTTTCGGAGATAATAGCAAGGGAAAGATTATCGGCATTGGTTCGGTAGGTAAATCTGAAAACTCCTCTATAGATAATGTCTTGCTTGTTAAAGGTCTTAAACACAATCTCTTGAGCATAAGTCAATTATGTGACAAGGGAAACCGTGGGAGCTTCGACTCAAAATCAAGCACGGTAGAATGCCTTAGTGACAATAAGGTCGTTCTACGTGGTGATAGAATCGATAACATATATATGGTTAACTTAGACAAATCTCCTTCCGGCTTTGCTAAGTGCCTCATGAGTAAAGAGGAAGACACTTGGTTATGGCACCGAAGGGTAGCTCATATGAACATGAACCTTTTGAACAAATTAGTTTCAACAAGACTTAGTAATTGGCATTCCAAAACTTAAGTTTGAAAAAGACGCCATATGTGATGCATGTCAAAAGGGGAAGCAAGTTCGGGCTTCGTTTAAGTCTAAGAACGTTGTTTCAACGTCTAGACCGCTTCAACTTTTGCACATGGATCACTTTGGTCCTAGAACGAAAAGTTTTGGTGGCAATTACTTTGCGTTTGTGATTGTCGATGACTACTCTAGGTTTACATGGACCTTGTTTCTTACTCATAAAAGTGAAGCATTTCATGTTTTCAAAAATTTTATAAAGAAAGTTCAAAATGAAAAAGACACAACCATAGTAGCCATAAGAAGCGACCATGGGGGAGAGTTCGAACGAAATCTGTTTTCAGATTTGTGTGATGAACTTGGCATTGATCATAACTTCTCAGCCCCACGTACACCACAACAAAATGGAGTGGTGGAACGTAAAAATAGATGTCTTGAAGAGATGGCCAGAACTATGATCAATGAGGCAAACATCTCAAGTATTTTTGGGCGGATGTCGTGAGTATTGCGAGCTACGTGTTAAACCGAGCCATCATTCGACCTATACTCATGAAAATGCCCTATGAACTATACAAAGGGAGAAAGCCTAACCTTTCCCATCTTCGAGTCTTTGGCTGAAAATGTTTCATTTATAACAATGGCAAAGATAACTTGGGAAAATTTGATGCCAAGTCGGACGAAGGGATTTTTCTTGGTTATTCTCTTCGTAGCAAGGCCTATAGAGTGTTTAATAAACGTACCTTGACTATTGAGGAGTCCCCTCATGACGTGTTTTCCGAAGATAATACTCGCTTGGCGAGAAAGGCTATTTGTGATGAGCTTGCAGATTCACTCGAAAGATTACATGTTGAAGACGATGAAGAAGACACGCCATTATACACCAACCCGCAACCACAACCTGAGGAAACACCTCAAGTGATGGTCGAAAATGAGGACGAAGCGGACGAAGAAGAACAAGAGGAAGCCCAGGAACAAGAGGAAACCGAACTTCCCATCGCTTGGAGAATGCACAAGAACCATCCACTTGACCAGGTGATAGGCAGCATCAACCGCGGGGTAAGTACTCGTAACTCACTTAGGGACACCGTAGGACACATGGCTTTTGTTTCTCAAATTGAACCTACAACCATTTCCGAAGAAATAAACGATGAACATTGGACCTTGGCCATGCAAGAGGAGCTAAACCAATTCAAACGGAATGACGTTTGGGAATTGGTGCCAAGGCACGATGATCGTACGATTATTGGTACGAAATGGGTGTTCCGTAACAAACTTGATGAAAATGGAATAATCACTAGAAACAAAGCTAGGCTCGTAGCTAAAGGCTACAATCAAGAAGAAGGCATTGATTTTGAAGAAACTTATGCACCCGTAGCACGTTTAGAAGCTATTCGTTTACTTCTTGCTTTTGCCTCGTCTATGGATTTTAAACTTTATCAAATGGATGTTAAGAGTGCCTTCCTCAATGGTTTTATTCAAGAGGAAGTGTATGTTGACCAGCCCCCGAGGTTTGAAGACTTTGAGTTTCCCGACCATGTCTTCAAACTCAAGAAAGCGCTCTACAGTCTTAAACAAGCACCCCGTGCTTGGTACGAACATTTGAGTAAATTTCTTTTGAATAGTGGTTTCCAAAGGGGAAAGGTTGACACTACACTTTTTATCAAGAGTAAAAACAATAACATCCTTTTGGTTCAAGTTTATGTAGACGATATTATATTCAGTGCTACTAACGAGTCTTTGTGCAAGGAATTCTCAACGCTAATGACAAGCGAATTTGAAATGTCCATGATGGGTGAGCTTACATTCTTTTTGGGACTCCAAGTCAAGCAAATGAAAGATGGCACGTTCATCTGCCAAACAAAATATTGCAAGGAGCTCCTAAAACGATTCGAAATGGACAACGCCAAAGCTATGGCGACCCTGATGAGCACGTTTGACCATCTTGACAAAGACGAGAAAGGTAAAGAAGTAGAAGTCAAAAAGTATCGAGGTACCCCGTTCATGAAATCAGGGGGAACCATGCAAACAGCGCTGTCCAGGAGACCTAACAGCGCTGTTGAGAAAAACACCGTCAACCAGCTTGTGCCAACAGCGCTGTACAAGATGCCAACAGCGCTGTCCTAGGGAGTTCCCTTTCCTCATACTTTCCAGAATCTTTTTCAACAGCGTTGTCCCTTTTTTCAACATAGCTGTTTTCCAAAACACCTTGTTTTCAAACAAAACCAGAAAGTTTTCCAACAGCGCTACCACCATTGCAACAGCACTGTCCATTTTTACAAATTTTTTTTCTATCGTAAAACAGCGATGTAGGGAAACCCAACAGCGCTGTTCTAATGGGTTCAAACCCTTACACATTTCCAGAAACTTTTGGAACATCGCTGTAGGGTACCCAACATCGCTGTCCATTTGACACTTGTTTTTAAAACTTAACGCACAACAGCGCTGACCAAAGGCTCAACAGCGCTGTCCCAACAGTGATGTAGCCTTTGGAACATCGCTGTTCTGGATAATTGTTTCAAAAAAATATCCGTTGGCACCAGTATTAATTGCTCCAACAGCCATATTTTTGAAAATCTGGACGTTGGAGACCTCTTTTTCTATAAATTGGGACCTCCTCTCTTCACTTTTACACACACAAACACAATTCTCTTCAATATCTTTGCTTATTTCATCCCCTCTACTTTTCTCTTTTGAGATTTTTTTTTATCATGGGTAAAGACAAGAACAGGGCAGGAGCTTCCGGCAAATCCAAGTCCAAATCCCGGGCACCGCCAACCAATTCCGAGGAGCGCCTCTACTATGGCGACGGGTCATACCTCTGGTTTGATTCCAAGGAGGAGTGCACCCGTTTCCTCACTTTCTTCTCTAAACGGGTTGTGGCTCCCCCACAAATCATCCCGGAGCGCTTCCCGGAGTTGCAAGGCTACGACGACCTAGACGCGCGGCTTCATCAAGCCGGCCTTTGGCCGTTCGTCTCCCAGGCTCGAAAGGAGATCAAACCGGCGCTGATCCGGGCCTTCTACTCCAACCTCCGGCGTGAGGACGACGTCATCTACAGCCTCATCAAGTCCATGCCGATTGAGCTCACTGTTGAGCAGCTTGGGCGCATCACCGGCCTCCCCTTCCAAGGCGACGACGTCTCCCACTATGGCGGAGAGGACTGGGTGCTCAACAACGAGGGTAATATCCTCAACGAGCTTGGCATCACCGAGCTCATCCGCCATGCCTCGGGCCGCCCCACCATCCACTCCACAAACCCCGAAGGCCGTCTTGTCCTCTACATCGTGTCCCGGATCATCAAACCCCGGAAGCATGGCCACACAATCATGTCCGGTGAGGACCTCAAGCTCATCCACGCGATCATGCACTCGGCCCCAATCAAATGGGCGAAGTTTGTCATGATCAACATGACGATCGCCGCGTCCACCGACCACGACCACCTCCTCCCGTACCCGTTCGTGGTTATGGACATCCTTGAAAGGTTCAAGGTAACCACCACCGTTGGCCCACTCACGAAGGCCACGAAGCTTTGGACAATCAGCAACCAAACCTTCACCAAGCGGTCGGACAACGCCGCGACTACTGCGCCACGCCGTGCTGCCCCTGCCGCTGGCCCAGCCGAACCCCAGACCCGAGCCAACCTCGCCTCCATTGCCGACTCCCTCAACAGGCTCCATTTCAAAGTTGACGAGATGGAGGACTACCTTGAACGGCTCGACGTGGCCGTTCAACGCCAAGGGTACGCCATGAACGCGTACTTCCAAGGCATCAACTATGTCCCTCCACCACTCCACGGCACATTCCTCGGGGAAGTGTATGATGATGAGAACGAAGAGGATGGCTCCTACTCCCAGTCAAGCTCCCCGGCCGAGGATAAGTTCGACGATGCCATTGATGGTGATGAGATGGACGTTGACGACGACGAGGAGGAAACCGAAGACGAAGCCTAGTACTCCCCTAGAATTTCTATCTCTTTTCTTTCAATTATCATGTTTTTTTCCTGCTTCCGTTGTACTCTGCCCTTTCCCTTTAATAAATAAAATTATCTTTTATCTTTTTGTTAATGTCAAAAGGGGGAAGAAAGGGCTATGCATATACTAAGGGGGAACGCCTCTCTAAACGAGACCGTTTGATTTTTAATCCGACTATTTTTAAACACAAATTAAGGGGGAACTTCTTTTTACCACTTTTTGAAAATCAACTATCCCTTAGTATGCATATCCCCGTCTTGTTTGCCATTATCAAAAAGGGGGAAATTGTTGGAACACAAGTTTACGCCTACGTCGTACTAAACTGTGTTCGTCTTATGACAGGTTTTTATAATGCCAAACCACCGTGACAATAACAAGGTTAAAGTGAGCAAAACTAAGGCGAAGGAACATGGCATGATGATTTGAGAACTGAGAACCAAGAATCAAGAACGAAGAATTAGAATTGTATTGAGTCGGTCTTAATGTGAACAAGACCGGCACAAACTTTCAAAACTTGGCTCTCTAGGCTCTATTTCTGCAAAATACTTTTTGCAAATTCAAAAATGTTTTTCATAAGTTTTAAACATGCCTAAAAACACTTGGAGTTCGCCCAAATAAAAAACCAAGCCAACCGGCATTCGGCTTTCAGAAACCGGCATTCGGCTTTCGGTTTTCGGCGTTGGTTTTTGGCGTCCAAACCAACCAAGTGGTTTTCAACTTTTTATGATAAGTTTTTACTTCTGGGCATATTTAAATAGTTCTCCAACAAAAGCGCTTCAAAAACCACCTTTCGTTTTTGGTCGTTTAGTGAAAAACCATGCGAAACGGCGTAAACTTGGTTAGCCGTGGTTTTCAATTAAATAACGTGGTTTTTAAGATGTTTTACTTGATTTCTTAGGAAAATTCAATAAAAAAATGTTTTCAATACTTGGTTTTTATTCTGGAGAACTTACGTTTTTGACATCGGCTAACGGCGTGACTAAACAAACCATGGGTCTGGCTAAAACAGCCCAACAGCGATGTTGGTGCAACCAACAGTGCTATCTGGCTTGGGTAGCTGAAAACCATGGTTTGGCGTTAAGTCTTCCAACAGCGATGTTGCATATTAGACATCGCTGTTGAGCCAAGGTTGAGTTTCAAGAAACATTTGGAAAAGCGATGTAACCTTCCCTACAGCGTTGTGACAACGATGTTGACCCAGCAACAGCGCTGTCAGGCCAAAACTCCACCTTCAAAGTCAAACCTAAACAGCGATGTTCAAGTATTGAACATGGATGTAGGGACCTGACCGTTGGAAGGAATTTAAGGCTAAAACTTTCCTTGTTTGGAAGTCAACAGCCAAAACAGCGATGTAGGAGTATTGGACGTCGCTGTTGGCATGACCGTTGCTTCCCAATTTTCAAAACCCAAGCCTAGAACAGCGATATCCAAGCCTAGGACAGCGCTACCTGGGTGAATTTCAGCAGATCTAAATTTAATCAAATCCCACAAATTGTGCCCATCACCCCTTAAATGTTTTGGTCCGTTGGAGCCTATTTTTCCACTATAAAATTTGGTGTTTGGGTCTGTTTTACACATCACATTACTTCACAACTCCTACTCTTTCATTGCAAATCATTCATCACCTTTTCATAGCTTTTTGAGAGCCATTTTTGTGAAGCTTGTGTTGCGTTCTTGAGCGTTATTAGTTACTCATTATCCACTCTAAATGAGAGTATTGTTCTTGAGTGTTTGTAGTGTTCTTAGACACTTGACAAGAGAAAGTACTTCTCTTGTTGTTCGAAGGAAGGGTTGTTTCCTTCGAAGGTTCGTTGAGGTTCATGTGACTCGAACTCTCAAGTTGTACGGGTTTGTTAAGCACCGTTAAGCTTAACGAGATAGTAGTGTAGCTCGAGAGAGTCTCTCGGGAGGCTGGATTAGCCACAAGTTGTGGTGAACCAGGGTAAAATCGGTGTGTCTCTTACTCTTCTTTTTACTTGTCGTTTACTAATTTTTTTATTCCTGCGATTTCTTGATCAAACGCTATTCACCCCCCCCCTCTAGCGTTGGTCTGTTATTCGAACACAGAGTACAATTTTTGTTTAATTGAAAGTTCATCATATTTGACTCAAAAAATCAAACTAAATATAAACTATATACGGTGTCTCGCAGATAAGCATTGGCAGCGACACCTCTCAAGTGGGGAGAGCAGATTACGTTATTTTTCCCTAGGGGGGTCGGGGGTGCTCAAGAGGGAAGGGCTAATAGCGCTGGTACCCCTCGTAGTTTGCAAAACATGCACCAATACCCCCTCTGTTTTCAAAACTCATTTCTAGAAGTCCTTGTGGTTTTAAAAAGCTGCACCCAAATTTCCGGCCATTTTTCCGACGAAGAAGGGGGCATCGGTGCATATTTTTTAAACCATAGGGGGTATCAATGCTAATTTTTATTTCTCGCAATTTTTTTTTCCATTTTTTCCTTTTTTGTTTCATTTATTAATAAAGGTTTTTTAAAAATATTTTTATAATATTCTTAAAATTTAAAGTTATTTTTTTTTGAAAAAATTAACATATAATGCATATGTACTTCTAAAATTAAAAAATTTTTTTTTTCTGAATAAAAAGTAATTTTTTTAGAACTTCAAAAAAATGAGGAATAAAATAAGAAACAAAATAATACAAAAGTAAAAATGAATATCCTTTTCGGACATCTCAATTCTAAGGACTTTAATAGGCGTGTCCAAATTTTTTTTGTATAAGACTTTTTTCGTATTTATATTTTTTTCTTTTTGATTTTCCATATTTTATTTTTTTATTCTGGGATTTTTTTTGAAATTTCCAAAAAATTATTCTAAGTAACAAAAAGTGAAAATGTTTAATTTGAGATAGATGTAATAATGTATGTTAATTTTTTATTTCTTTTTTTGTTTCAAACACAAAGAATTTTAAAATTTTTGAAACATTATAAAAAATTGAAAATATATTTTAAAAAAATCTAGGAAAAGGAAAAAGAGATAGAAAATATTAAAAAAAAAGGAAAGAATTATAAACGAAAATAAGAAATGAGCACGAATGCCCCCTATGGTTTAGAAATTATGCGTCAATGCCCTCTCTTTGCCGGAAAATAACCGGAAAATGATCAGAGGAGGTGTGGGTGCAACGTTTTGAAATCACGGGAACTTTAGAAATAAGTTTTGAAAACAGATGGGGTATTGGTGTCAATTTTTCAAACCATAGGAGAGCGTCAGAGCTATTTGGCCCAAGAGGGAAAACATGATCTCTGTACTTAAATTATTACTACCTCCGTCCCATTTTATAACGCCTGTTTCGGTTTACGATGTTTGACTGAAGTTATTTTCAAACCATTTTATATGACAAATGGTATAGAATTAAATAAATAAAAATTACTACCTCCGTCCCGCTATATTCGTCCACTTTTAACTTTTGGAACTATTCATCTAAGCACTTTGACTTATCAAAATCTCTCAATGTGTAAGCCTAAATATAGTCATGTATGATCTTGTTTGATTTGTCTTAACATATAGATTATTAATATATAATTTCTATAACTTTTTAATATACAAATTACAAGATAAAATAGATTAAAGAAGTGCATTGGATGGTGTGTAAAAATGAAAGTAGACAAATACTCTGGGACGGAGGAAGTACATATTAAAAAACTATATCAAAAGATCTACAAAACTAGTAGTGCCCCTTTACAGGTGAAGGAGGCTATATTTTCCATTCCTAATTCCAAAAGCCCAGGCCCTGATGGGTTTAATAGTGGTTTCATCAGAAAACAGTGGGGTAGAGTGGGAAGACTTGTTACAGAAGCAGTACTGGAATTCTTTAAGAGTGCGTGGGAAAACCCTGAAGCAAATCAATGCAACTAACATCTCTCTTATTTCCAGAACTGAAAACCCTCTGTCTCCAGTAGATTATAGACCAATTGCTTGCTGCAATGTGGTATATAAAACCATTGCAAAGCTGATTAGTAGCAGACTAAAAGAGGTTCTCCCCCACATTGTGAGCTCAAATCAAGGAGTATTTGTTAAAGGAAGGGAGCTACTCCATAATGTTCTCCTTTGTCAAGAACTTGCCTAGGGCTATAATAGAAAAAATGTATCCCCCAGGTGCATGATGAAACTAGATATCAAGAAAGCGTATGATTCAGTCAATTGGGATGCAATTCTGAAAATTCTTCATGGACTAATGTTCCCAACTGAATTTATAGACTGCATTCAGTTCTATATTTCTACCCCCTCCTATTCTCTATGTATTAATGGTGAGACTCATGGCCATTTCAAAGGGGAAAAAGGGATTAGACAGGGGGACCCCATATCTCCTCTAATATTTGTTCTAGTTATGGAATATCTTACTAGACTGTTGCAAGAAATGGCAAGCCAAGGAAGATTCAAATACCACCCAATGTGTGCAGAAATGAAGATCATTAGCCTGATGGTTGCAGACGACCTAATAGTGGTATGTAAGGGGGATGAAGGTTCTATCCAGTGTATTATGAAAGCACTAGAGAAATTCAAGGAGACGACTGGACTGCAAATCAATCCAAACAAATCCCAAGTGGTTTTTGGAGGGGTCAAACCACAGCAACAGGAAAGCCTACTCAAGTTAACTGGAATGGGCAGAGGCAAATTACCTTTCACTTATCTTGGTAGCCCAGTCACTACTTCTCGCCTTAAATCCTCAGATTGTGACAGATTAGTAGCCAAGCTAACTGCCAAGATCAATGCGTGGAACTCTAAGCATTTCTCCTACAGTGCAAAGGTTAGACTTATTAATGCCATGCTTATGGGGGTCATCACTTTCTGGACCAGAATCTTTATTCTGCCCAAAATGGTACTTAAGAAGATTATGAGCATATGCAGAAACTTTTTATGGGGTGGGGCAGCAGATTACTCCAAATCTCCCCTTGTTAGTTGGGATATCATATGCCAACCTAAGAGCAAAGGGGGTCTTGGGCTGAGAAACATCATTAACTGGAACAAAGCAACCATTATGAAATTAAACTGGGACATTGCTAACAAGGAGAACGTGCTTTGGGTCAAATGGATACATTCCAGGTATATTCAATCTGCTAGCTACTGGGATTATATCCCTAAGCCCAGCTCTTGCCATTACTGGAGACAAATGGTAAGGGTGAGGGATAAATTTAGGGAAATGCAGCTAGTTGGGGAGTTTGAGGTGAAAAAAGGCTATGAGTGGCTTCAGGGTGATCTCCAGAGGGTTGGATGGGCTAACTGGGTGTGGAACAAAGCAACCCCTCCCAAAGTACAGTTTATATTCTGACTATTAATGCGAGACAAACTTTTAACCAAGATTAGAATGGCTAAATGGTGCTCTACTAACACTGACTGTGTACTATGTGGGGGTGAATTGGAGGACAGCAATCATCTCTTCGTTGACTGTGAGTATGCTAGAAGGGTGTTGAATGCTGTATTGCAACCTTACAACCTACGGTATGATCAACACAGCATTATGGAATTTGGTGAGATGATTAACACGAGGGTGAGATGCACACTTCGCGGGGAGGTTATCGCAGCTTGGGCGATAGGATGTTATGGCATATGGAGGGCGCAGAATGGGATTCATCAGAAGAACATCATAGAGCAGAACACCATTGAATTCATTAAGTTTACTCTTCATAGTTATATAGACTACAAAAAGAAAATGTAACTAGTTTGATGATTGTATTGGTCTTGTACTTTACATTTTCTTGGGAGTGGAATATATTAGTACGTTTGTTCAAAAAAAAAAAACTAGTAGTGACAATAATATTTTATTTTATCAAATTACCAACAAAAATAGAGAAAAAAAGTAAATAAAGTTTGACCCTATAAATAGTGAACAGACATTATAATTTGGGACAAAGGGAGTAGTTCACAAAGGAAGTGAAATGGAAAAGGTAACGCCAAAAAGTAAAACGTTAAATATCTTAATCATAGAATAGGAGATGTTCAAACACAAGTAATACAAATACAATATCTTAGAGCGTTCAAAACAAGGACTAAAACCATCTGGCAAAAAGTATTGATTGACAAACTTAATCTTCATCTTCCGTTTCATTTTCAGCAATGTTGAAGTACCTCAACTCATAGACACTTTTATCCTTGTTCGAAGAAATCACACGGAGCCAGTCACGAACACTGTTCTTCTTTAGGTACTTCTTGGTCAAGTATTTCAAATACCTGCAAGTGCACAAAATCCATTGGTAAATAAAGACAGGTGAAAAAGCAGGACCTTGTACAAGTCAACCAATATAACACATTGGGAAACAGGGGAACACCCAAGATAATTCTTTTATTTCAGAAATAACTATAAACACAATATTAAAATCAGAGTCATAGAAACTTTTGGGTGCTTTACAATTCCAGAAATCAAAAAAACATTGCGAACATAAATCATGCTGTGAGGCATAATGTCTGAATAGTTTAAATTTTCCATGGTGTGAAAATAGTAATTAATGACAATGTTTTAGCTTCAGACTTCAGAAAACTAATGGACAAATTTAAAATGGCACATGTATGTAATGTAACTGTATGGGCTTCTTATTACTTTCAATAAATTTTATAGTAAATGCAGAAATGCATATATGGCTTAACAGATACAGTTTCTGCATAATATTATGAGTGGAAAGGTTGTGTACTTCTTGATTTAGGCTTTACACATTTGAGGCTTAGACATAGGAATTGCAGTTTTTATCTCATTTCTACACATCCATCCAGATCATTAGGAGTTCAAGTATGGGGCCATAAAATAATATCTTTTCAACTAATAAAAGAATCATATTGAGGAAAACTTTGAAAAAATACCAAATCAAAGTCTTGCATAATGAGAGCTTCTTTAAAAGCTAATATGGCATTTCTCACAATACATCTTGCAATGAATATAATATTCTGTATAAAACAAGCCAATAAACCTAATTGCATCCTGAAATAGTAACCTAAAAGCCCCAATCTTAGAACTCAATACAGAGAGAAAATTGAATGTACCTCTTGGAGAAATTGGAGTCGGAAGTGACGGTGATCTTGGTCTTCTCACGGGTGACGGTAACGGAGTCGCCGAGGGCTCCGGGCTTTCCGCCGACTTTGATGCGCTCCTGGAGAAATTTCTCCAGCGAAGCAATGTCCATGATTTTGTCTTCCACCGGCTTGGAGCAGTCGATGATGAACGTCACCCCCTTCTTCTTCCCTCCCTTGACGACGCCGGTGCTCCCCCTGCTCATCTCAACTCTTCTCACCTGCGAACGATTCTACAGATCGATTAACGCATACACACACACACTCACACCACACAGAACGGAGGGATGGAGGAGATAAAACCTGAACGAAGCGGGCGGCTGTGATGGATGCGGAGCTGCTGCTGCCGAATGAAATGTGATGATGTCTCACACTGGGTCTGTAGGGTTTAATGCAAACCGGGATTATCAACTATGGGCTATTGGACCGTATTTGATAATTCTCTAGACCATAGATTTGGTTTTGGGCCAAACGAAATAGAATTCCAACGGTCCAACTAGGTGCTGCTAAATTTCCTTTTTTTACTAAATCTATCCTTTTTATACTAAGGACTTTAATAAGTTGTGAAATACGGAGTATAACCCTACCGGCTTTAATAAGTTGAGATTGTATGAACAGATACTTCATTATAATGAAGTTATTAGTGTTCAAAAAAAATACTTAGGGTTGGTTTGGTACACAAAATTGAGAGAATAAGAATTGAATTGGAATCTAAATTTTATGGGATTGAGTTCGATGGAATTAAATTTTTCAAATTCAATTCATTTTTTGTCCTACGAATTCCAAATCTACATAGAATTTTTGTACTACTAAACAGTAGAATTGGAATTGTAATTTCCAATTCAGATTCTATGACTTGAATTTTTTCTTAAATGATGGATTATTACATCTAAGGTTCTTCTTTTGTATAAAAGGACAGAATTGTTGATTCATTATAAATGATGTGGATTTAGCAAAACTGAGAGTTTAGCAGGACTCGTCTAAGGGGGTGTATTGTATTCATATTTTTAAAATCTATGACTTCTATTCATGTCAATGGACTTGTGTTGAAAGTCATAGACTTCTGTTGATATTTTAAAAGTCGTTGATTTTATATAAATACTCCGTAATTTCTATGGATTTTAACAAGTCTATGGACTTTTATTTGAATAATTTTATAGATTTCACTTCCACCATCCAAGTATGTCCGTCCAGCATTATTTTTTGCACTCAAATAAGATTAATTTTCAATTAAATAAATATTATATTTTTATATTAATAACAAAATAAATTTTATATTAACTGAATAAGTATTATATATATTATTTTATAGAAAATAAACTAAATTAATTTTTTTAAAATTTTTTTACTAGATAATTCTATTTGTGTTATTTTTAATACTAATTGATAATTTTATTTTAATTTAATTGATAACCAAAATTTATCAAATTTGAATTTAAAAATAAAATTTGACCGAGCACACAGGGGAAAAGTAAGTATGCTAATAAAATAGATAGAAAACATTGCATTGTATAAAATTCATCATCTCAATCAAATGTTGCAACAAAAAATGAAAACAAATCTAATTGTAAAACAATTAAAGTAACGAATTAACTATTTTCACTAGTAAAATTTGCACTAAATAGGACTAAAACATAATGACTTTCCCAATGTAGGACTTAAACTTTTTTATTTCCTAAATAGGAGTTAATAATGACTTAGTGGGAAGAATAATGTCCAGTAATGATGGACATTTACTTGAATAATGACTATTTGTTAATGACCAAAAGTCCTATATTGGGAAATAAAAACATATGGTCCTATATTGGGAAAGTCATTATATTTTAGTCCTATTTAGGTAAATTTCTCTTTTCACTATTAGTTGTTGCCCACATTTGATTTGCAAGATTCAATCTCTATTCGTTAGCTTTCTTTCACTGTTGATCTTGTGTTTGAATATCATCCCATGAAAGGTAACCATGCAAGGATACGCAGCGGAATACAAATCTTAACATCCTAACATGATTATCTTGCCCAGAATCACGTACTAAAACTTATAGTGAGTAAGAAATTTATACCTTTCTCCGTAAGCGGTAAAAACGAAGAAGTCGTAGGAAGAGCGTTGAAAGTGCAAATGTAACCGTTCAAGCGTCCGGTCTTTAACTTTGACACACGAACAACACCGGAGTCTACCTTAATCTTTATGCTAGTAAAGATTATAGTAGTATAAAATATAAAGATTAAAATTTGGGATAATAATAATCTTGTATATTTCTTTTAGTAAATATTTCTAATAATATTTAGAAAATATTATAGATATTTTCTATACACAAAATGATACAAATGGAACCCCAAAAATCACTTTCTCACTCTAGAAAAACAATTGGCCTAATCTCTTCCTTAGTTTCTTAAAATGGCATGTGAAATTTTTAAGGAGATAAAGGGATGATACGTTTGACTTTGTCATTAACAAAATGACAAAAATAATTAGCTCCACTAATTTCAATCAAGGAAATCTGATTCTTTAAAATCTCCACTTGGCCATATGTTTTGATTTGAGAAGGATATTCAAAAAATTTCTCCACTTAAATGTTCAAAGTGTATTTTATTTGAAACCAAAAATTAATATAAAATTAATTTTAAATCAAATAAAATTACCAATATCATTTTAAACAAGTATATAAATATACTTTAAATAGTTTATGTCAAAATAATTATTTTCATAATTAAAATGACAAACCAAAATAAACTATTCAATATAATGTATATATATATATATATATTAATCGGCACATATATAATATATATATATATATATATAACCGAATATATATATATATATATATATATATATATATATATATATATATAGAAAACATCTTTATTGAGAGGAAAATCGAGTTACAAGCATGATCCTGTGAGGAAAAGCAAACTAAAAATACAGCCTAAAATTCAGAGCAAAGTAGAAGTCCTTTTTCCTCTCCTCCAAAACTTATCAATCTCCCAATTAACAAAGTCTTTGTCATGTATCATCCATTTCTTTTGTCGGTGAGTCCATGCCCAAGCCTGAACGAGCTTTCCAATCTGCTGAATAATTCCTTTTGGGCTCATTGTTTTCCCATCGTAGTAAAAAGCGTTGCGCGCCTTCCAAAGATTCCATGAGATAAATCCTGGGAGTATAATCTTCAGTGCACCTTTGAAACTTTTCAAGTTACCTCTTACCCACCATGAGATTACATGTTGGCGAAGTAAGAGGTTCGAATTGAGTATGGGAGCATCAACAAGGCTTGCAAAGAAGTTCCATACTATTTTGCTCTCATTACAGTTGAGGAGACAATGGTCCAGATCATCTTCAAAGTTTAGACAGAACCCGCAATGACTTGGAAGTGCTAGGTTAAACCTTCTAAGGTTTGTAGGGAAAGGAAGGCAGTTATTGAAGATCTTCCATTGGAAAAAGCGAAGCTTTGGGATTTGCGCTTTGTGCCAAATGAATTTGGTTGAGAGGAGTGCAGGAAGTTCTTCTCCAGTGGCTCTAAAAGCTTGCTTGAGAGAGAATTGGCCATTATCCCAAATAGCTTGTCCATTATTCCATTGCATGTGAGGAGCGCCAAGAGAGTGTATCCTACATATTCGTTTCCAAGTTGGGGAATCTGGGAGACGTTCTTTGATGCAACCATTCTTCATGTATTTTGCTCTAACTAGCTTAGCCCAAAGACTTTGATCATGTTGAGCTTTCCACCACAGTTTGATGGAATATGCCTTTTCAATGTGAAGCAGGTCCCTGATACCAAGACCACCTGCGTTCTGGTTTTGGCATATGAAGTTCCAGTTCCTCCAGTGGTATTTCGCCTTGCCATTTTTTTGACCCCAAAGAAAGTTTGCCATTAGGGAATGGATAGTTTTGATGATGGATCTTGGGAGGGAATGGACAGCAATGAGGTGGAGTGGGATGGATGAGAGGACATGTTTTATGAGGATTAATCTTCCCATTTGATTGAGGGTTCTACTATACCAGGAGTAGAGATGTTTGTAGATGTGGTTCAAAATTGAGTCACAATCTTCTTTTTTGAGAATACCCCTTCGAAGGATAGCTCCCAAGTAGGTGAAGGGGAGACTTCCACACTTCATGGACAGTGCTTTTTCCATTTTGGCATGTTGATCCGCAGTGGTGGATTTTGGAGTGTAGAATCTGCTCTTTGAAAAATTAATCTGCTGCCCTGATGCCTGCATAAAAACTTTAAGAATATGGTTAAGTTTAAGGAGGTTGAGGATGTCCCCTTTAGTAAAGATCATCAAGTCATCTGCATAGATTAGATGACTTGGCATCTTGACACTGCCCATGTTGAAGCGCTTGATAGTATTGTTATCCATTGAGTGGTTTAGAAATCTGAAGAAGGCTTCAAACCCTACTATGAACAGAAGTGGTGACAGTGGATCGCCTTGTTTCACTCCTCTGGTCATGGAAAAGAAACCATGAGGCTCTCCATTGATGAGGATACTAATGAAAGTGCTTCTCAGATTTGCCATAAGAAGGTTGATGGCATCATGTGTGAAACCAAATGCTCTAAGTGTGCCCTCAAGAAAGCTCCAGTTCATACAGTCAAAAGCTTTTGCCATGTCGATTTTGATTATAAGGTTACCCCCAAAAACTTTTCTATCAAGTCCATGGATGGCTTCTTGGGCAAGGAGGATATGGTCATCAATGGTTTTACCTTTTTGGAAAGCCCCTTGTTCTGGTGAGATGAGTTTGGGAAGCAACTTTTTAATTCTGTTGGCAAGGAGTTTAGTATTGATTTTGCTGAGAAATGTTGAGAGGGAGATGAGTCTAAAATCATCAAACCGTTTAGGATCATCTTTCTTAGGTATCAAGGTGATGAGGGTACTGCCATAACCTTTGGGAATTGGGAGGCTGAGGAAGAATTCTTGAGAGGCTGTGAGAACATCCTGATAGATTATATTCCAGCAAGCCCTAAAGAAGGTACCATTGAAGCCATCAGGGCCACTGGTGCTATCAGGATCAAGGTCCCAAACAGTGGCTTTAACTTCAGCCAAATCGGGAATAGCAGTGAGCATCATGTTGTCCTCAGAGGAGATGAGGGAGGGGATAAAGGTTAGAATATTTTCCAGATCAGGGATGTGAGGTGCTGGAGCTTGAAATTGGTTTTGGAAGTGTTTGATGGCCTCTTGCTTGATCTCCTCCATGTTATTAAGCCCCTTACCATTACCATCAATGATGTGTGATATTTGAAGCTTTTTTCTTTTCCCTTTAGCAAAAGCTTGGAAGAGCTTGGTATTTGAATCCCCCTTATCCAACCATCTGATTTGTGCTTTTTGCCTCCAATATTCCACCTCCATGTTAGTGGCTAGAATAAGAGCAGCATTGTCCCTTTGAGCAGCAGTTCTGTTTGCCTCATTTGGAACATCCTCAAAAGCTTTTTGGCTTTGGGTGGCCCTAGCTTCAGCTTCTCTAAGTCTAGAATGAATGTTTCCAAAGGTTTCAGTATTCCATTTCTTCAAAGCTTGCTTCACAGCTTTCAGTTTATGAAGGAGGCCTCTCATGCCTCCAATGGTGGGGGAATTTGCCCAAGCTAGTTTCACAGTATTGAGGAAGTTCTCATGAAGGGTCCAGTTATTTAGAAATCTGAAAGGCTTGATAGTATTGGGAATCTGATCATTGCAGTGGAGGAGAATGGGTTTATGGTCAGAGTTGGTTTTTGCAAGGTGATGAAGCTCCACATCTTGAAAGAAGGCAAGTAAATCAAGGTGAATCAAGACTTTGTCAAGTCTACGCCAGGTCCTGCCTTGGGAACGTACTCCTGACCATGTGAAAGTACTTCCAATAGGGTCAAGATTGATGAGTTTGCAGTTGAGAATGCAGGAGTTGAAGTCCTCCATACTTGGTTGGTTCGGAGGGCAGGTACCTTTGGACTCATGGGGGGATGTAATGGCATTAAAATCACCTCCAACAATCCAACGTTTGTTGGAGGGACACATAGCAGTAAGTTGATCCCAGAGATCCTTCCTGGCCAAGACCGTATGGGCACCATAGACCCCAGAAATAAGAATAGGGGAGTTGTCCATCTGGAGAGTGAAGAGGCAGCTGGTAACCTGAGGGAAATCTGTGAAGGAAATGAGTTTAAAACATGACTCATTCCAGAAGAGCCATTTCTTATTATTATGGGATCCAAGACAGTGAGAGAAGTTAAGTTTGATACGAAAAGATTCTAGTTGGGAGGGGTTAACCATAGGTTCCAAAATGCATAAGTAGTCTAAGTTATGTGATCTCCTTAAGGAAATAAGTCTGCTTAGAGAGGAGGTAGCTCCACAGACATTCCAGAAGAGGAGTTTCATTAAAGAACATTGGGTGGGGGTACATCTTTAGAAGTCTTGCTTCGAGTCATCACCGATGATGGTGGGATGGCTTTTCTGGATTTATGGTGCTTTGGAAAAGGTATGGATTGCTTGGAACATCTACCAACATCCAATTCAAAGGGGATAGGGGCTGAGGTGATGAAAGGTTTATCATCATTCCCTCCATCAGAGTGGCAAAGGTAGGGAACAGGTTCCTCCAAAAGGGAGCTGCTGTTTGATTTGGTTTCCCAATTTGTTTGAAGTTGATCATTGATCCAACAGTCATCTTTGCTGCCTAGCTTGGGTAGTTCAACTGTTTGGGGAAAAACTCCAAGTGGATAAGAGTCCTCCTGGAAGGGGTTATAAGGGATAATGTCCATGCAATAATGGGGTTTGTGAACTTGGAGGAAAGAGAGGTCATAGGGTAAATCTGCCTGGGCTTGTTGCAGGATAGACTTGCGGGAATGGGACTTACTTGGAATGAGTGGGGAGCAAGATATATTTTCTTCAGTAACATCTTCCACCGTAGGCATGAGGTCTTCCCAACCAACATGTTTTGAGGATTTGGAGGGTTCACCTAATTGGACATGAGTGTTTGTAAGCCCGGAGATGCTCTCTGGTCCTTTACCCTGGTTCCTTTTGTCCTGACGTTGTTGTTGTATTGGTTTATATCTGAAAGGCCCAAGCACCCCATAATGGTTTGAGGAGGGACCCATCAGTGCTGTTTTCCCAGACTTGCTGTGTCGTTTGCTAGAGACCATTTTCCAATCATGTTGTATATTCTTGAGAGCGTCTGCTCCAATGTGGCCCACCTCCTTGGTCGGAGCATTTCCAGGGAGGTTCTCCGGCATCTTTTTCCGGCAGGCCTGAATGTTGTGGCCAAATCTGCTGCAAAATGTGCAATAATGGGGAGGATTTTCAAATTTGCATGGTAACCAGAGATCTTTAGCTCCAAGCCTGAGATGAATATGAGGAGGGAAGGGGATGGACATGTCTCTCTCCACACAAACCCTAATGATGTCAGGTGTAACACCAATAACAGATTTGGAGTCCAGTTTGATTGGTTTTCCAAGGACAGAAGCTATCGAAAAGATTGTTTTGTGATCATTGAGGTGGATGGGGAAGTTCCTCAGCTCAACCCAGATAGGGAAGAGAGGTGAGTCCGCTGTGGGTTCATGCTCCGGCGTCCACTTGCATATAGTGATGATGCTTCCTCTGATGTTCCATCTCATACGTGAGAACCAACGAAGGTAGTCATCTTCGTGTTTAAAGATGAAGAGTAGTTCCTTGGATTGTAGGCGGCGAAGTTTGAATTCCTTGAACTTACCCTTGATCAAAAAATTTTCAACCTCGGATAGGTGGATATGGCTACTGCATCTTCCAACTAGCGCCTTTGAGAAATTCCTGGCCAGCATCCTTTCCTCCTCCGCCGTGAAGGAGATTGAAGGGGAATTTTTATAGAAACCACTGACTTTGCCGGGGATATTTCCAGGTTCTCCTTGAAAAAGTTCTGAGAAAAGTGTACGCCGTGGTAATGAACGGACGAATTTTAGGTTTCCCGATGACTTGCCGGTGGCCGGAAACCTAGAGAGAGAAGAAGCCATCTTTGTCATATATATATATATATTGAATATATATATATATATGTATGTATGTATGTATATATATATATATATATATATATATATATTCCAAAATATTTCATTTTACTATTTTTACAAATATACAAATTACTTATTATCCCATTGTTTAATCCTACTCCTTAAATTGTCTAAAGTGTGTGACCCGTATAGGCACTTATAAAGCTGGCCATAATATTGGCTCTGCACCAATACTATAAACAATAAGCGGTATCTAGCAACACATTATTGCCCCCAGATTATAAGTTAAGACGTTTGCACCATTAAAACCTTTCCACGTTTGAGACTCCGTGTAACTGTATCCTTTTGTCTCAATGTCTAGACTTAATGGAAGGGATTAATAAAATCCAACTTGTATCCATTAAGTCATTCACTAATTTATCAAGTCTGACTGATAGGAACTGATGGAAACAGACGTCATAAAAACATCTCAGCATGGCATGCAATTTCCTCAGTCATAACTTATCAGTGGGCCCCATAATACATTAATCTCTTAAAAAGAGTAGTGACAAATCCTATGTATGTAATCTACATTTCTGAATACGCGCTGCGGCATACCCAAAACAAAGCATGTATACCATCCTTATTTCAAATGGCTTAGGATAATGCATCAAAGCATGCGGGTTCACATATTCTGTAGTTGAATCAGCGGTTGTATCTTCCTTGAAGCTCTTCCAGCTAAAAGCTCCGCCATTCAGGCAAAACAAATATCCTACTTGTGATTTTGAATCGTCTCTGTCGGTTTGGAAGCTAGCATTAGTGTAACCGACCACCTTTAGCTTTTCCTCACCACCGTATGCCAGGAATGCATCCTTAGTATTGCAAATATACTTGAGGATGTTCTTGACCAGTGTCCAGTGTGCTTCTCCTAGACTTCCCTGGTATCTGCTGGTCACGCTTAAAGCGAATGAGACATCAGGTCTAGTACACATCATGGCGTACATGATGGATCCAATCGCAGAGGCGTATGAAACCTTCATCATGAGTTCCTTCTGCCAGTAGAAGGACTCTGGCTCTTGGAAAGAACCGTGCTAGGTGTCATAGGGAAAGATCCTTTCTTTGAGTTAGACATGCTAAATCGATCAAGGATTTTATCTATATATGTACTTTGATTCAGACCTATTAACTTTCTTGATCTATCTTGGTAGATTCTTATGCCAAGGACATAACTAGCATCCCCTAAGTCTTTCATGGAGAAGTTCTTACTCAACCACGTCTTTATAGAAGTGAGAGCGGGAATATCGTTACCCATTAACAATATGTCATCAACATATAAGATTAGGAATACTATTACACTCCCACTGACCTTCTTGTGTACACAAGATTCGTCAGAGTTCTTCTCTAAACCAAAACTGGAAATGGTTTCGTCGAAGCATATGTACCAACTCCGAGATGCTTGTTTCAATCTGTAGATTGAACGTTGCAGCTTACAAACTTTGGCAAACTGACCAGCAATTTGAAAACCATCTGGCTATGTCATGAAGACATCCTCTTTGAGGTTCTTGTTAAGGAAAGCCGTCTTGACGTCCATCTGCCAAATTTTGTAATCGTAATAGGCTGCAATTGCAAGCATTATCCGAATGGATTTCAGCATAACAACTGGAGAAAAGGTTTCATCATAGTCAAATTTCGTGGATTTGCCTATAACCTTTTGCTACCAATCGAGCTTTGAAGGTATGAACCTTCTCGTCTACGCCTGTCTTCTTTTTGAAGACCCACTTGCATCCAATGGGTTTTACCCCTTCGGGTGCATCAACCAAGGTCTAGACTTGGTTTGTGTACATAAACTCCATTTCAGATTTCATGGCTTCGAGCCATAGATCGGATTCGGGGCATGTAATTGCCTCGAGATAGGTCTCTGGTTCGCCTTGATCTACCAACAAGACGTCACCTTCATCAGACATGATAAAGAGGATTACGTATCCGGTTTGACCTATGTGGTATATCTTGAGCAATTTGAGGTTCAATTGCTTGATCTTTTTGCTCATGTTCCAACACTATCGGGACTTCTTCTTGTGGTTCTCGAATTTCTTCGAGGTTTACATTTCTCCCACTAGTGATAGCAGAAAGAAACTCCTTCTCAAGGAAGGTTCCATTCCGAGCAACGAAGATTTTGTTATTGGATGGATGATAGAACTCATACCCTCTAGTCTCCTTCGGGTATCCCACAAAAACTACTTTATCAGATTTAGGCTCCAACTTACTAGACGTCATGAGACATTTTACATAAGCTTCACAGCCCCAAATCTTAAAGTATGAGAAACTCGGTTTTCTCCCACGCCATAGTTCGTATTGTGTGCTCTCGACAGTTTTAGATGGAACTCTATTGAGTGTGTGTGCTGCTCTTTTAAATGCATATCCCCAAAATGATTCTGGAAATGTTGTCAGACTAATCATGCTTTGGACCATGTCAAGCAAAGTCCGATTTCTCATTTCAGACACTCCATTTAACTGAGGGTCTTTATACTTTTGCCTAACTGTTTTTCTACTTCGTTCTTGAATTCTTTGAATTTGTCAAAGCATTCTGATTTGTGTTTCACGAGATACACATATCCATATCTACTAAGGTCGTCAGTAAATGTAACGAAGTAAGAATAACCACCTCTAGCTACAGTGCTAATTGGACAACACACATCAGAGTGTATGAGGCCCAATAAGTCACTCGCCCTTTCACCGTGACTAGTGAATGGAGCCTTTGTCATTTTACTAAGTAAACAAGATTTACATACATCATGTAACTGGAAGTCAAATGAATCAAGTACACCTGAGAGATGTAACTTAGATATGCGTTTCTCATTAATGTGGCCCAACGACAATGCCAAAGGTACGCGAGATTCAAATTGTTAGGTTTGTTTCTCCTAACATCTACGTTATGTTGGAACACGGGTTTACGCCTACGTCGTACTAAACTGTGTTCGTTTTATGACAGGTTTTGATAATGCCAAACCGCCGTGACATAACAAGGCTAAAGTGAGCAAGACCAAGGCGAAGGAACAAGGCATGATGATTTGAGAACCAAGAATCAAGAATCAAGAACGAAGAATTAGAATTGTATTGAGTCGGTCTTAATGTGATCAAGACCCGCACAAACTTTCGAATCTTGGCTCTCTAGGCTCCTTTCATCAAAATATTTTTTGCATATTCAAAAATGTTTTTCTTAAGTTTTAAACATGCCCAAAAACACTTGGAGTTCGCCCATACCAAAAACCAAGCCATCCGACGTTCGGTCTTCAGAAACCTGTGTTCGGCTTTCGGTTATCAGCCTTGGTTTTTGGCGTCCAAACCAACCAAGTGGTTTTCAACTTTTTATGATAGATTTTTAATTATGGACATATTTAAATAGTTCTCCAACAAAAACGCGTCAAAAACCATCTTTCGTTTTTGGTCGTTTAATGAAAACCATGCGAAACGGTGTAAGCTTGGCTAGCCATGGTTTTCGATTAAATGACGTGGTTTTTAAAATGTTTTACTTGATCTTTTAGCAAAATGTTTTAAACAAACATTTTCAATACCTGTTTTTCATGTTGGAGAACTTACTTTTTTTGACATCGGCTAACGGCTGACTAAACCAACCATGGGTCTGGCCAAACCAGCCCAACAGCGATGTGGTGCAACCAACAGCGCTGTCTGCTGGCTTGGGTAGCTGAAAACCATGGTTTGGCGTTAAGTCCTCCAACAGCGATGTTGGTTGTAAGACATCGCTGTTGAGCCAAAGTTGGGTTTCTAGAAACATCTGGAACAGCGATGTAGACTTCCTACATCACTGTCCAACCTAAGCCAAAAAGAATTGCTTCTGGCAAAAAGTTTTTGGACAGCAATGTTGTCCTAGCAACAGCGCTGTCAGGCAAAACTTTCCACCTTCAAAGGCAGACCAAAACAGCGATGTTCAAGTAATGAACATCGATGTAGGGACCTGACCATTGGAGGGAATTTAAGGCTAAAACTTTCCTTGTTTGGAAGTCAACAGCCAAAACAGCGATGTAGGGGTTTTTGGACATCGCTGTTGGCATGACCGTTGCTTCCTATTTTTTAAAACCCAAGCCTAGAACAGCGATGCCCAAGCTTAGGACAACCTGTCTGGGTGAATTTCAGCAGATCCAAATTTAATCAAATCCCACAAATTATGCCAATCTCCCCTTAAATGTTTTGACCGTTGGAGCCTATTTTCCACTATAAAATGGGGTGTTTGGGTCTGTTTTACACATTACATTACTTCACAACTCCTACTCTTTCATTGCAAATCATTCATCCTTTATTCATAGCTTTTTGAGAGCCATTTTTGTGAAGCTTGTGTTGTGTTCTTGAGCGTTCTTAGTTACTCGTTATCCACTCTAAAAGAGAGTATTGTTCTTGAGTGCCTTAAGTGTTCTTAGACACTTGACAAGAGAAAATATTTCTCCTGTTGTTCGAAGGAAGGGTTGTTTCCTTCGAAGGTTCGTTGAGGTTCGTGTGACTCGAACTCTCAAGTTGTACGGGTTTGTTAAGCACCGTTAAGCTTAACAAGATAGTAGTGTAGCTCAAGAGAGTCACTCGGGAGGTTGGATTAGCCACAAGTTGTTGTGAACCAGGGTAAAATTTGGTGTGCCTCTTACTCTTCTCTTTACTTTTCTTTTATTTATTTTTAATTCTTGCGAATTCTTAATCAAACGCTATTCACCCCCCCTCTAGCGTTGGTATATTATTCTAACAATTGGTATCAGAGACTAACTCGCGTCCAAACTTAACCGTTTGAGAGTAAAGCGATCATGGGTTCTTCTTCTAGAAATCTCTATGCAGGAATTGGAGAAGGTCAATCAACTTCTAGGCCACCACTTTTTGATGGCACCAACTACTGCTATTGGAAGGAACGGATAAGAATCTATATCCGTTCCACCAACTTCCAATTATGGTTGGTGATCAAAAACGATGAAGAAATCCCCATGAAGAAAGTGGGAGAAACCACGGTCCCAAAGACCGAGAACGAATTTGATGCCGAGGACATCAAGAAGATTGAGAATTATGCAAAGGCCATCAATATGCTATATTGTGCGGTCAACCCCGATGACTACTGAAAGATCTCCTGTTGCACAACCGCCAAGGAGATTTGGGACAAGCTTGAAGTAACGTACGAAGGTACCGATCAAGTGCGTGAAGCCAAGATCGATTTTCTCACCCAAGAGTATGAAATGTTTCGAATGAAGGAAGGTGAGAAAATCGACGACATGTTTGATCGTTTCTCAAAAATCATAAACGATTTTCATGCTCTTAAGAAGACGTACACCAACGTCACCATCGACGGGCTAAGAGGTAATCTTAAAACCTATGAATCTATTATTCTAACCCCGTCTTTGGATGAACAAAAGAAAAAGGGGATAGCTCTCAAAGCCACCAAGAAACCGGTGGAAGACGTTTCAAGCGATGACGACAACGAATTTGGACTCGTCATCAAGAAGTTCCACAAGTTCATGAAGAAGGAATTTGAGCGGAAGGGAAGGAAGCACGACGGTCCTCCCAAGTGCTACGGCTGTGGCGAAGGTGTCCAAAAGCCAAACACGACAAGGATAAGCCCGACTTCAAGAAGCAAAGGGCTTACATCTCTTGGGGTGGCGATTCCGATGACGAATCAACCGACCAAGAGGAGGACAAAGCTGCAAATCTTTGCCTCAAGGCACACGAAGATCAAAACGACGACGTCCAAGAGGTATGTACCATTTCTTCCGACTCTTATACTTTTGAAGAAATGCAAGAAGCACTTCATGAACTTTATGAAGAATTTTTTAGCGCTTCTAAAACAAATAAATCCTTGAAGAAACGTATTTCCTCACTTGAAAACGATTTTGAAAAATTGGAAAAAGAGAATGAAAAACTTAAACAAGAAAACAAATTTTTTGGAAAAAGAAGCGCTGACAAACCGGAAAGTTCCTCAAGTGAATGTGAGTCTTGTAAAACTTTAAAAGAACAAGTCACTAAACTTGAGAGCACAATCAAGAAATTTAATACTCCTCAAAAAGACTTAAATTTACTTCTTGACACTATGCATTTTTCTAAGGAAGGAATAGGTTTCAACACAAATGAAGCTAAGGAAAATGTTGAGCCACCACCTAGACAACCATCTAAGGTTCAACATAAGAAACCTAAAAATCAAAGTAATAGAAAACCTAGTCAACCTAAGGACACTAGACAACCTAGACCAAAACCTAGGAATGAAAATGGTTATGGTAGACAACCTAAGAAAAATGACTTTGTGCATAAAAACGAATTTTCTCAAATTAGGAGAAATAATGTTAGAGCACCTAGAAAAGGCCAATTTCAAAATTTTCAAAGACCATCTTTTTCACAAAATAGGAACAAAATGGTTAAACCCTCTAACTATTATGAACCTAGGCACATGTACAACCCCAACGTAGTTTGCCATTATTGTAATAGGATAGGCCATATTGCTCCCGTTTGTTACACTAGGCATAAGCACCTATCACAAAATCAAGCACACTACCATCACACACCTAACACACGAGGACCCAACGTAAATCGGGTACCTAAAGCTCATTGATGTGCTTTATTGGTGTGCTTGAAGGCATCAAGTGTACTTTGGTACCTTGATAGCGGATGCTCCAAGCACATGATTGGAGATGCATCCAAGTTTCTCCAAATCAAGCCCGCTAAAGGAGGAAACGTAATTTTTGGGGATAATAGCAAGGGAAAGATTATCGGCATTGGTTCGGTAGTTAAATCTGAAAACTCCTCTATAGATAATGTCTTGCTTGTTAAAGGTCTTAAACACAATCTCTTGAGCATAAGTCAATTATGTGACAAGGGAAACCGTGTGACCTTCGATTCAAAATCATGCACGGTAGAACGCCTTAGTGACAATAAGGTCATTCTACGTGGTGATAGAATCGATAACATATATATGGTTAACTTAGACAAATCTCCTTCCGACTTTGCTAAGTGCCTCATGAGTAAAGAGGAAGACACTTGGTTATGGCACCGAAGGGTAGCTCATATGAACATGTACCTTTTGAACAAATTGGTTTCACAAGACTTAGTAATTGGCATTCCAAAACTTAAGTTTGAAAAAGACACCATATGTGATGCGTGTCAAAAGGGGAAGCAAGTTCGGGCTTCGTTCAAGTCTAAGAACGTTGTTTCAACGTCTAGACCGCTTCAACTTTTGCACATGGATCTCTTTGGTCCTTCTAGAACGAAAAGTTTTGGTGGTAATTACTTTGCATTTGTGATTGTCGATGACTACTCTAGGTTTACATGGACCTTGTTTCAAACTCACAAAAGTGAGGCATTTCACGTTTTCAAAAATTTTCTAAAGAAAGTTCAAAATGAAAAAGAAACAACCATAGTGGCCATTAGAAGCGACCATGGGGGAGAGTTCGAACGAAATCTATTCTCAGATTTATGTGACGAACTCGGCATTGATGATAATTTCTCAGCCCCACGTACACCAAAACAAAATGGAGTGTTGGAACATAAAAATAGATGTCTCGAAGAGATGGCTAGGACTATGATCAATGAGGAAAAAATCCCTAAGTATTTTTGGGCCGATGCTGTGAGTACCGCGAGCTACGTGTTAAACCGAGCCGTCATTCGACCGATACTCATGAAAACGCCTTACAAACTATACAAAGGGAGAAAGCCAAACCTTTCCCATCTTCGAGTCTTTGGCTGCAAATGTTTTATTCATAACAATGGCAAAGATAATTTGGGAAAATTTGATTCTAAGTCGGACGAAGGGATTTTCTTGGTTATTCTCTACGTAGCAAGGCCTATAGAGTGTTTAATAAACGTACCTTGACTATTGAGGATTCCCCTCATGTCGTGTTTTCCGAAGATAATACTCGCTTGGCGAGAAAGGCTATTTGTGATGATCTTGCAAATTCACTCGAAAGATTACACGTTGAAGACAATGAAGAAGACATGCCATTATACACCAACCCGCAACCACAACCTGAGGAAACACCTCGAACGATGGTCGAAAATAAGGACCAAGCGAACGAAGAAGAACACGAGGAAGCCCAAGAACAAGAGGAAACCGAGCTTCCCATCGCTTGGAGAACAAACAAGAATCATCCACTTGACCAGGTAATCGGCAGCATCAACCGCGGGGTAAGTACTCGTAACTCACTTAGGGACACCGTAGGACACATGGCTTTTGTTTCTCAAATTGAACCTACAACCATTTCCGAAGCAATAAACGATGAACATTGGACCTTGGCCATGCAAGAGGAGCTAAACCAATTCAAACGGAATGACGTTTGGGAATTGGTGCCAAGGCCCGATGATCGCACGATTATTGGTACGAAATGGGTGTTCCGTAACAAACTTGATGAAAATGGAATAATCACTAGAAACAAAGCTAGGCTTGTAGCTAAAGGCTACAATCAAGAAGAAGGCATTGATTTTGAAGAAACTTATGCACCCGTAGCACGTTTAGAAGCTATTCGTTTACTTCTTGCTTTTGCTTCGTCTATGGATTTTAAACTTTATCAAATGGATGTTAAGAGTGCCTTCCTCAATGGTTTTATTCAAGAGGAAGTGTATGTTGACCAGCCCCCGCGGTTTGAAGACTTTGAGTTTCCCGATCATGTCTTCAAATTCAAGAAAGTGCTCTACGGTCTTAAACAAGCACCCCATGCTTGGTACAAACGTTTGAGTAAATTTCTTTTGGATAGTGGTTTCCAAAGGGGAAAGGTTGACACCACACTTTTTATCAAGAGTAAAAACAATAACATCCTTTTGGTTCAAGTTTATGTAGATGATATTATATTCGGTGCTACTAATGAGTCTTTGTGCAAGGAATTCTCAACGCTAATGACAAGCGAATTTGAAATGTCAATAATGGGTGAGCTCACGTTCTTTTTGGGACTCCAAGTCAAGCAAATGAAAGATGGCACGTTCATTTGACAAGCTAAATATTGCAAGGAGCTCCTAAAATGGTTTGAAATGGACAACGCCAAAGCCATGGCGACCCCGATGAGCACGTTTGACCATCTTGACAAAGACGAGAAAGGTAAGGAAGTAGAAGTCAAAAAGTATCGAGGTATGATCGGATCCCTTCTCTATCTTACCGCTAGTAGGCCGGATATCATGTTTAGCATTTGCCTTTGCGCAAGGTATCAATCGTGTCCGAAGGAATCGCACTTAACGGAGGTGAAACGGATTATGAAATACCTTGTCGGCACGGTTAACGTTGGACTATGGTATCCAAAAGGCTCTTCTTGTCATCTCGTTGGCTATTCCGACTCGGACTTTGCCGGTTGCAAATTGGACCGTAAAAGTACGAGTGGGACTTGCCACTTACTTGGTAGCTTTCTTGTCTCATGGTTTAGTAAGAAACAAGTCAGTGTTGCGTTATCCACAACCGAAGCGGAATATGTAGCTGTCGGTAGTTGCACTACAAGAAACTTGACATTTTGTGGCACCAAATTTTGCCACAAAAAATAAAAAATTAGCCACAATACCTATTTGTAGCAATTTTGGAATTTGCCACAAGGTTGCCACAGATACCCCGTTACAAAAGGTATTTGTGGCAAATTTAAATTTGCCACAAACGACATAATTTTTGTGGCAAATTATGGTTTGCCACTAATAAAATTTTGCCACAAAAGCTCGAATTTAGTGGCAAAAGCTCGTATTTAGTGGCAAAGTTCAGTTGTCACAAATTATATTTTGCCACAAAACCTAATGTTTAGTAGCAAATTTAAGTTGCCACAAGTTATACTTTGTGGCAATAGCTCATGTTTAGTGGCAAATTTTAATTGCTACAATCATTAATTAATTATGGCAAACATAATACTAGTGATACTTTATAATTGTCACAAACTAAATTTGCTACAATTCTTCATCATATTACATTCTTTAAATAACAATTTTATTACAGTAAGAATAAAAAATACAAGGACATGTTGTGTAATGCCCAAAGCTCAAGTAAAATAAAAAGCCATGAAATGACAAATTGTCTAAAGTATCAAATACTACATTACAAGGTCCAAAAACGTTTAAAACCACTTCTGCTTTCCATGGAGTTCACCATTTTATCTTCATTATTGCAACTTCTTCCTCAAGTGCCCTCTTCTAATTCTCAATATCTTGCTCTAGAGTAGATCCCTGGATTATAAAGTAACCAACCTGTATTCAAAATAAAGTTGCTTGATTAATTCAATAGTGGGACATTAACATCATGTTTGGAATTTTAAGCATAAGAAAGAGAAGAGTCACCAAGTAATCTTTCATTTTGAGAACTAGAACAGCTAAGGTCATCTGACATTCCATGAATCATATGTCCCACAATGAAAAAGGCTAGATGACGGTTCAAATTTGGAAAACATAAAGCAGTACAAAAGAAGATTGTTTTGTATTAAAACATTACATATACTTAATGTTTCATTCATTACATAATATACATAAAGAATATCCAAAATAAATCTAATGAGTTCTAGTCTATCTTTTATCTCCCCCACATTTTCTTTCCTTCAATTTTTTTTTTAATTTCTTTTTTTTCTTTCCCTATTTCAGAATTCCAAATGCCACCTTAAGAATCTCAGTTTCT